GAATTACTAACCAGCATAACTGAATAATCAGAAAAGGGAAATTTTGCTATGTCTGCTAGGTGGCTAAAGTCTGATCCTCAGAGCCTAACCATGGCATTTTTAATCACCTTATGTGCATGTGAAAGTTGAATAATGAGTAAGGAAAGCCTGAGAAGAATTGATGCATTTGAATTGTGCTTTTGGTGGAGAATATTGAAAGTGCCATGGACTTGAAAAAGAACACACAAACCTGTCTTAGAAGAAGTACAGCCAGAATGCTTCGAAGTAAGAAACATGAGCCTTTGTCTCTTCTACTTTGGACATATTGTAAGAAGGGGCTAGTCTTTGGAGAAAGACATAATACTTGGGAAAGTAGAGGGTCAGAAAGAAGAAAACCCCCAAGGAGATGGATTGACACAGTGGAGGTAGCAATTGCTTCAAACTGAACAACAATTGTGAGCATAGCGCAGTACTAGCCAGTGTTTCATTCTGTTGCCAGGAGTAGGAATCAGTTTGATGACATTTGGTAGCATAATGGTTACGAATTGGGCTGCTAATCTCAAGGTCAGCAATTTGAAACTACCAGCGGTTCTGCGTGAGAAAGATGAGGCTCTCTGCTCCGGTAAAGATTTACAGCCTCGGAAACCCTGTACAGGGTTGCTATGGGTCGGAATCAACTCGACAGCACTTAACAACAACAACATGTAAAGGATATCTGGATAAGTACTGGACTGGGAAGCACAAAGTAGGCAGTTCAAACATACCTGTCGCTTTGAGGCAGAAAGATGAGGCTTTTTGCTTATTAAAGTTTTACTTCTTTGGAAACCCTATACAGGGTCACTATGAGTTGAAATTGAATCTATGGCAGTGGTAATGTATAGAGTTGCAATGAGGCTAAATCAATCCAGCAATGAGTTTTGTTTTTTAAATATACTTGATACTATCTTCAATATCAACTGTATATAGAAATCAGGTTCTCAGTAATTGCACGCTTAGTATATGAAGGAATTAACTTGTTCTGAGTAGTGGGCAATTACAATCTCCTAGTAAATTATCGTCCCTCATAAATATAATTTAGACTTCAGTAACGTCATTGTTAATGGTTGTTATAGTCTGTCAAGTCGGTTCCAACTCAAAGCAATTTTTTATAAAGGGTTTCTGATGCTGTACATATTTGTTTCTCCTGAGGAGTTGCTGGTGGACTCAAACCACCAACCTTGCGGCTTGTAGTGCAGTGCTTATAGGTAAACTTTTCCTATTGAGGGCCAGGTATTCAATATCTTCAACAGAATGAGCTGGACGGTGCCTGTTGCAACTACTTGATTCTGTTACAGTTTATTAGCAGCTACTGACAATGTTTAACAAACCACTGTGACTAAGTTCTGATAAAACTTTATAGGTACTGAATTTAGATTTCATATAATTTTCACATGTCACAAAATCATTCTTCTTTATCTTTTTTTAAAGTTTTTATTGTGAACTGAGTGAAAATTTACATGAGAGAACATCAGTTTTACACTGTTTCATAGCAATGATTACAATCTCCTCCGTGCATCATTATTCAACAGTATTTTCTTCTATTCCCTCTGATTTTTTTTTTGGTGGGGGGAGAGGATAGGTACACAAAAACACTCAGGAATATATAATAATTTAAACAACCAAAGGGCACATTCTGCAAGCCTGTCTCCTGGCTGTCAGCACTCAGTCTTTCTCTTCCCGTAAGTCCAGAGTAGAGTTCTCAGCTGCTCTCTCGCTCTATGTCATCTCTGCCTCCATCTCTGGAGTCGCTGCTTCTCTGGATAGGGTCCCATATTCCACTTGTAGGGTCCTCTGTTTTTGGACTGTAAAATTATTCCCCTGTTTTTGTTACAGTTGTGACAGTTGCAATTAGTCATGATAACAATTACTCACTATTGAATCATAAGAATCTTATCCCCATCTCTTTTCAACAGACCCTTCTAGACAAGATGAAAACTATTCAGTGGGGACTCTACCTCCCCTCCCCCCACTCTTTAACTAAACTCCCTCTTGAAAACTTGTAAGCCACTCACTTTATGCCTTTATTGCCCCCTCATTTTAGGTAGCTAATGTCTAAGTTGCCTGTCCCTATCTACCCTGTATACAGAGGGGATAGGAGTGGTGCTTAAAAGGGAGACTCCTTCCCTCTCTGTTCGTATTTTAAGCTACTACATCCATAAGTATAGGTCAAGTTCATCAAAGTGCAGCAATTTACACTCCTTTACTTTATCAAAAATTGTTTATATTCCTTTAGTCGAGTTCTGATTATCAAGCCATTGAAACTAGGTCAAATGGGTACTATCTTCAAGTTTTGGGGTTCTTGTGCATCTCCACTCACTTCAGATCAGCAGAACACTTCACTCTCAGCTCTAGCTCTCTGTGGCTATGTCCCTGTCCATGGGCTCAGGAGTCCCCAGGTTTCACCACACTTCAGACCAACAAGCCCTTCCTCTTCTCTCTCTCATCTCCAGGTCAACGGGAGTTTATGGAACTGGTTGAACTCAGCTTCTTTAGCTTTTTTCAAGTATTAAAAAAATGTAAAAACTGATCTTTCCTTAATGTTGTTGTTAGGTGCCATTGACTTGGTTAGCATGTTGTTATTATTGTTAGGTGCCATCGAGTCGGTACCCACTCATAGCAACCTTATTTTATGCACAGCAGAAAGAAACACTGCCCGATCCTGGGCCA